AGGTGAGACGGAAGATCACTTCCCAGGGTCATGGTCCTGCACTGCCCGCCTAATCATCTTGGCTTTGAAAGAAGACGCGGCGCTCCAGGCCATTAAGCGCTGGCAACAGACTGCAGGTTGGAGGCCAGGAAAGCATTTCCTCGCCCACGTGAGTGGGTCGCACGCAGCCCGGCTGTTTCCCAGGTGAGGTCCGAAGCCGGGTGGAGCGATCGCGGAGCGTCCTCGGACGGGGGCGGGCAGGGGCGGTGCCTGCTCCTCGCGCCCCACCCTGTCCCTGCCCCAGTCCGAGTCCCGGCCCCCTTTTCCTCGCGCCTCCATTTGGTGAACTCACAATAGATTCCGAAGCCAGGAAAGTGACACCTGCCGGTGGCGCGCGGCAGTGCGGGTCCGCAGGAGCCCTCTCGACACGCAGGCAAGGCCGAGACCTAGGGGGCCGCGCCTGGACCCACGTGCTTCGCCTCTGCAAGCCAAATATTCATTCCGCCGCCAAGGCAGCCACGCGATCTCTTCCCAACTTGAGCTCTGACGGGCTCGCCACTGGGGAGTCCGAATGTCCCCCTGCCTTGGCCCTCGTGATGTCTTCAGCCAGCCAACCTTGCCCCCCATGCGCACTGTTCCCAGAGCTGCCGGGCCAAGAGAACAAGAGAGGTCTCCCCTGCGGTCAGCGTCCCGGAAAGAGAGAGCAAAACCTCTTTAGATTTGAGTTTCCTTAGGCTGGCCAGGTGGCTCTCTGGCAAACATTCACCTAGAGTCCGCTTCAGACAGAGCCCGGGTATTAGTGCTGCGCCCGTGCGCGGGGTGGGGACGGGGAGTGTGAAAGCCGACCAGCCAGTATCTGTGCTCGCGACCGCAGAAGCAAGCCCAGTGCGGCGGAAACGCAGTAGGGACCGCTTCCTGCACGGAGAGCCAGGACTAAGGTCCCAATGAGATCCCGGACCTGCACTGCGGCCCAGCACTGGAAGACAGGGCTCCAGGGAGGCTGGGAAAGTCCGAAGTCCCTCGGAGCTGCTGGTCTGGAGCTGGTCCCTTCGGCATGGGGAGATCTGAGTCCTTGGAGGACAAGGGCTCACAGGGCATCCCGGGGGACTGAGAGCACAGTGTAGGTAGCCCAGGCTTCAAGCTCCAGAGATGTCGCATGGGTCCGGGAGGGGGGATAGTGCCCACGTGGCCTCAGGGAGCCAGAGAGGGTTCTCTTCCGTCCCGAAGTGTTGCTACGTCGGAATTAGTACTGGGACCATTAGTGTTCTCAAAGCCCCATCGTCCTCACCTGGGAACTCCTTAGATGTGTATTTGGGGAACCAGCAGATGGTGAAATAATTACATCACCAAACTCCCACGTAGCCGACCACCGTTGGAGTCCTGGACCGGGCAAAACTTACACCAGGCGCGTGTGTGCGTGCCCAAGATACCTAAAGGAGAATAGAGGAGAAGGGATTGAGACACAGCCAACCCCCTCAGGGAAGATTTCTCACTTTCTGTCTCTGTCTCTCCCTGTCTCTCTGGTGAGTACATGTGCCCTATGGCAAAAAAACAAAAACAAAAACAAAACAAAAACAAACAACAACAACAAAAACTTCTCTCTAAAAAAAAGAAATGCATTGTGGTCCCACTCCTGAGGTTGCTGCTATGCAGTGTCTGCAGATGGACAGGCCTTGTCCATCAAGCCCTCCCAGTGATTCTGACATTCTCTAATGTTTGACAATCCCTGGACGAGGGAATGGAAAGTAGTGGAGTCACCTGGGTGGCATTCCAGGTGACAACTGGACTTCACATAAATGAAGGGGAGTATGGGGGCAGCACAGGCAGGTGTGGCAGGAGGGGAAAGGCCAAAGTACTACATAAACCATTTGCTGTGTTTTAGTGTGAGGGTAGGCAGGCCAGCTACAGAGGCCCCTGGAAGCCAGAGCCAGAAACAGAGGTGAGACAAGGACGGGGGTCACTGGGTGAGAGGAAAGTTGGAAGGACTGGCTCAGCTCACTGAAAAAAGAGGTATAACGAGATAAGTTCAGACAGAAGAGGGGAGGGCAGAAAGTTCAAAACCATACAGGGAACTGCTAGTTAAAGAGGAAGAAAGACACTCAGTTGGGCGTCACTGAGGCACAGAGGAGAGAGATTCCAGAAAGATCCAGTGGGATAGAGCTAGCCTTAGGCAGTGTTTCTTAAACCATTAGAGGACTATGAACCAATACGATTATGAAACCAGCATCAAAAAGAATAGAAAATGTCAGAGTGTATCTCACATAGCAAAGATACAGCTGTCTGAAATTTTTGCTTAAGATATTTATTTAAGGGACCAGCAGAGGGGGTAATGGTTATGTTGTTGGATTGCCACATAGTCGACCATGTTTCAAGTCCCGGATCTAGCAGCATAAAACTCACACCGGGTACGTGTGCATGCGTGCCCAAGATCCCAAGAGGAGACTGGAGGAAAAGGGATTGTGGCGTGGCCATCCCCCCTGGGAGGTGATTTCTCACTTTCTGTTTCCCTTTCTCTCTCTGTCTATCCAGTGAACACATGTACCCTATAGCAAAAATCTCTCTCTAAAAAAAAAAAAGATATATATTTGAGTGGGGGAGCATAACATTGTCTCTACGTTCTTGCCATGAAGTCTATAACCATAGAGCAATCACACACACACACACACAAAACGAAACATATAAACCGAAATGAAGAGACACTCAACAAAATAACTGATTAATACTCTTCAAAAGTGTTAAGGTGGGACCAGCACTTAGTGTAACGGCTATGTCGCTGAACTCTCATGTAGTCAATTGCAGTTTGAGTCCCGGATCCAGTGGCTTAAACTCACGCTGGGGGCGTGTGAGTGTGTGCCCAAGATCCCAAGAAGAGAATGGAGGAGAAGGGATTGCGGCGTGACCATCCCCCGTGGGGGTGATTTCTCGTTTTCTGTCTCTCTGTCTCTGTCTTTCTGGCGAGCGCATGCGCCCTAAGCAAAAACCTCTCCAAAAAAAGAAAAAAAAAAAACATGTTAAGGTCACCAGTGTTAAGGTCACCAGCCAGGCCAAGCAGTGAGGTGAGCTACTGGAGCTGAAGTCTGGAGAGATTTTGTGGGTGTGATGGGGAAGGGTGAGAAGATGCTGGTGACAGCAGTGGTCAGAGCAGATCGTGGCTGAGAATACCACAATGCCTCAGAGTGATTAGATCCAGTGTGTTAGTTCCTATAGTTTGGCACAGGCTGTGGATTCCAGGAGAGGAACCCTTAACCTAGGGGCTGAGAGGTGGGCACTGGGGCAATTGAAGCTGTCGCAGTGCCATTCCATTACAACTTAACATTGCCATTTTATGGAAAGTTATAAGAAGAGATCTTTTCTGGGGGAAGTGGTACCTGGTGGTCTTGAGTTATATAATTTCTCTTCTCTTTATTTTCAAAGAATTATTTTATTTAACTTCACTTATTTTCATTTGACCAGATAGGGACTGAGTGAGAGAAAGCGAGAAAGCAAGCCGCCAGGTTCAGAACTCAAGCCGTGGTCAGTCACGTGTGAGTCCAGTGCCCTTAACCACCATGGCCGTGGTCAGTCATGTGTGAATCCAGCGCCCTTAACCACCATGCCACCTGTCGGCCCTTATTTCTCTTCTTTTTAAAGACAGGGTCTCTCCGTGTTGCCATCATTCTGCTTGGATCTTTTTCTTTTTCTTTTATTTATTTATGAGACAGGGTCTCTCCATGTTGCCATCATCCTGCCTGGATCTTTTTCTTTTTCTTTTATTTATTTATTTTTTTGTTAGTTTTTTGCCATAAGACGTGTGTGCTGGCCAGAGAGAGACAGAGACTTAAGAAGGGAAAGTGAGACATTACCCCCCAGGGGGCATGGCCATGCCACAATCCTTTCTCCCTATTTCTCCTCTTGGATTTTGGGCACATACACACACAGGCACAGCATGATTTTCAAGTCACCAGGTCTGGGACTTGAACCCTCTTGATCATAAGGGAGCTTTGAGCTCATGAGCTTCCCACCTCAGCCTCCTGAGTTGCAATGACCGGCACATGCCTCCACACCCAGCCTTTAGAATCAAACCTGGGCCTTCTACGTGGTCCCAGCCTATGAAGCGCAGCTTCTCAGCCTACGGTTGTGTTATTTCTTTGGTAGGAGTGTGGGAAATAATTTCAACCCTAAACCATAGTTTCTTTGAGTCCTAAAGACTGTAGGGGGATAAGTGTTCCTCTCTCACCAGAAATCCTTCAAGCTACCTGGAGGAATGAAAGGTGTGTTGATGCAGCTACTTTAATACTTATACCCCTGCCTTGCAAATGTATAAATTTACAACAGTGAATCTCAACTAGGGGTGATTTTTGGTCTCCAGTAGACATTTGGCAATGTCTGGAGACCGATTTAGTTGTCATACTAGGAGTGTGAGTGTGCACGCATGTGGGCGTTGCTGCCATGTAGACGTTAGAGGCCATCCTACAACAAATGCACAAGACCACCCCTTCCACTACAGCAGCAGAAAATTACCCAGCTTCAAATGTCTGTCATGCAGAGGATGGCAAACCCTGACTTACAGATGAAAATCCGAGGTCTGTTTATGGTCTGGAAAGTTGCTTGGGCGCTTTTCATAAAAGAAAGGGGCATTAAACTTCATTTCTTGGCTCGATTTCAAGTGGATAATTACAACCTGCCTACCTAAAATTTACACTTTAATTTTCAGTAGGTATTGCTCTTCAGCTCAAGCTTAAACAAGCTGAGTGTGGATGTATTCTTGACAACAGAGCAATATTCTATAGCTGAGTCGGTTACAGGTCAACTGTAGGTGAAAAAACTGGCCTGCAAAGTGGTTTGAAACCTTTGGGGGATAAAAGTACTAAAACAAGAAACCCAGGACTCTCTCGCCATTATTAATTATTAGGACTTCTACAGCACTTACACGGCTGCTCTCAGGACTTCCACAGGATTCCCATTAGTACGAAGGTCAAAATCAGATTCCTGACCTTCAGTCTACGCAGACACCGCCTAGAATTAATATGTTAGCCGTTAAAAGCAGGGCGCTCTCCTGCTGCCGTCCCTGCTGCTCCAGTGTTTGGAAGAGGCTTTGCACTGGCAACGCCGAGCTTCAAAGCAAATCTTCAATCTCCTATTTGTACTCGCTGTTCCCATATTTAGAACAGAGCAGCACATACTTGTCTATTGCTTCAAGGCAAGAGCAAATTCTGAAGGTATTAAATAGAGCCTTACTTCAAGCAAACAAGAAAGCCTGGAAAAAGTGAAGAACAAGGCTCGCTCACATTCCGTACGTTTTAAAGATTATACTCATCGAGAGGGGTAACATTTCCAGTCAGAAGCCACGCTGCAACCTCTTCAACAAACGGAAGGGTTATCATTTTAGAAGCCACACAGATCAGCTTGTGACACTTGATGTAGATGTCTTGTCTTTTTTTTAAAACCGTATTTACATATGAAACAAGCTTGGACAGATACAGACGCACAATAGGCATAGAAGGAGTAGGTATATATAAAAAATGGTTTTCTGTTTGCTTATTCATTTTCCCTCGGATCTCTGTGTTTAGAGAGGTAGTATTAATTTCATCCTTAGTAACCTGGAGTTCTGGCAAAGGTGACTTCGGGGATTATGAATCGTGAGAGCTGTTGGTTCTCTCTTTGATACATCTTTATTGAGGTAGGTTTGGAATAGAGGTTCGTCTGGCATGATTCTTTCTTAAAACTCTATTTCATAGTACCAATGTTCCTTTTCATATATGGACAAGCTGCCACTGACTTTACCTTGATTTTTATTAGCCGACTTATCCAGACTCTCTCATCCAGATCCTTAAAAACACGTGTTTCCAAGGTGCTAGTGGAGGTGAGAAGCAGGAGTTTTAGCAGAAGGGCAGTCTGTCTTTGCAAAGCAAACTGCCGAGTTCCGGCCAGAGCCTGAAACCCTGGCTTCCCATGGGAATAATCACAACAATAAGAAGAGTTAGTGTTCATTGCCGTTAAGTATGTGCCAATCTGAGTCCCAGGTTTTTCTGTGTGCTGGCTCATTTCAGCCTGGCTAGAACTCCTCAAGGTAAGTGCTATTTGTTGCTTCTTTTCACAGCTGAGGAAACTGAGGTTTCAGGAGGTCAGGTGCTTTATTTGTTTATTTATTTTCATTTTTTTTTTTTTTTTTTTGCTATAGGGCACATGCTACAGGGCACATGCGCTCTCCAGAAAGACAGAGGGAGACAGAGAGACAGAAAGTGAGAAATCACCCCCCAGGGGGGATGGTCACGCCGCAATCCCTTCTCCTCCATTCTCCTCTCAGGATCTTGGGCACGCACGCACACGCGCCTGACGTGGTTTAAGCCACTGGATCCGGGACTCGAACCATGGTCGACTACGTGGGAGTCTATTGACATAGCCATTACGCTAACTGCTGGTTCCGAGGTCAGGTTCTTTATTTACCCGAGGTCGTGGAGGAGCGGAAGACTGGGCTGGAATTTAAAGCAAGCCATCTGTCTCTGGAACCCTTGCCCTTTTCCCAACAAGCGTGATCTAAAATAACATGCATCATATTAGCATGTGATAATTATACGGTTTGTTTTATAAATGTTTCAAGCTATTTTCACATTCCGTATCTCTTTTGCTCAGGAGACTTGATGGTAACTAGAATCCTGGAAAGTGTCTTTTCATACAGATTAGATTTGAAAATGGCTAGACCCAAGCATTAGAAACTCCCCTTTCCGATGCAATGTTAACAGGAACACTACTTGAGCAAATCTGCCCCAAGAGATCACTTTGGGTAATTTTGCTTTTCCCCAAGATGAATATAGGCGGTGGGGTGTTTCAGATTTTCTTTCAGTACTGTTTTTCTTTTTCTACCTTTTCCCTGAACACGATGCCATTGATACCTTTGAAGTTTAATTATACCTCTGGCATTGCGTTGCATGAAGCATTTTACTCATCGCTGTGTTTTTGAATGTGACAGTGACAGTATGTTTATCTTGGAGTTGAGACTTGAGAAGCAAGTTCCTCCCTTGACCTTGACTTGAGATATATCACCTCCCCTCTGGTATTCCAACCTCAGGCTCAAGAAACCAAGAGTCAATTTGAAAAATAAAAGGGAGTGGGCCAGGCTGAGGTGTGTTGGTTGAGGCAGTTCAAGTCACATGTGGCACTTGAACCACATGGTCCCATATGGCTGGCCATGTAGTTCAAGTTCCAGATCCAGCAGCTTGAGGGACACACAAGGTGTGTGTATATGTGTGTGTGTGTGTGTGTGTGTGTGTGTGTGTGCGCGCACGCCCCAAACCCCAAAATAAGAATGGAGGAGAAGAGATTGCAGTGTGGCCATTCCCTCAGGGGAGAGGAGGAGGTGATTTCTCACTCTTTCTCTCTCTCTCTCTTTGTCTCTCTGGCAAGCACACATATCCTGAGGCAAAGTGAAAAAATAATAATAATAATAAAGGTTGATTTGGCTTATGAAAATCCGGAGGCATGAAGCTGACATCAGGCCAGCCTGTGGTGCTACGTCACAATATAGTGAACAGAGCAGAGAAGATGATGGGCGTGTGCAGAAAAAGACCTGTTTGCAGCCATCTTCCTTTTGGCGCAAGCTACTCCAGTGGACACTAACTTCTTCTCAAGAGAAAGAGAGCTCACTCCACCATGAGACAGCACTAACCCATTCAAAAGCAATGAGCCACTCATCTTTGACCTCTGAGATCCAAACCCCACGCACTAGGCCTTGCCTCTTACAAGTCTTACCAACTCCCAACCCTGTTAGACCAGAGACCAGATTTCAAAACACGAACCTTTAGAAGCAAACCATTATGTAAACCACAGCAATGGAAAACACTTAATGCTGCTTCACACCTCTGAAACTTTCATCTGTGTAGATCCTGCATCCTGTCCTGACATGCCTTCTTTCACTGTATCTCCTAAGTTACATTCCTCCTTCAATATCCAATCATCTTCCAGTGCGGTTTTCTCTGGAACCCTGTGACTGAGACGCCTACTCCATGCCCCGTAACACTCTGGGCTTCCCTCAGTTGCAGCACACACACCATGAAGGGGTTGCTGTGTAAACCCTTTTCACTAAACTATATTCATGAATTCTGGCTGACAGGAGGGGGTCAGTATGTTTTTTGAATGAGTGAATAAATCTTTCTTTCTGGCAGCAGAGCCTATCTGGGAAAGAAGTCAGATGATTGTTTGGCACATACTGAAGGCCTGAGATGAGCTGAGCCAGAAATGTCCTGAACACAGGTGTGAAGTCAGTTATGGCTATCCCATAGCCATCGCTGCTCTACCAGTTTGTCCCAGATTGTCGAAACTCTTCATGTTTCAATGCCGTGAGTATTTCTGTCAGCTCTAGTGGTATCAAAAGGATCCCTAAGTAGGTGCTAGCATCTTTGGTTAAACTTGGTCACTGCTTTGGTTTGAATGTATTCCCTCTCAAATTTAGTGTTAAATATAGTGGTCAATATGAGAGTATCAATAAATAGGGTCTTATTTTAATTTTAGAGTTAGATTTTTGCTATAGGGCACATGCACTTGCTGGAGAGACAGAAAGCAAGAAATCACCCCCTGGGAGGATAGCCATGCCACAATCCCTTCTCCTCCATTCTCTTCTTGGGATCTTGGGCATGCATGCATGCACACATACCTGGCATGAGTTTTAAGCCACCCAGTCTGGGACTTGAATTGCGGTCAACTACGTGGGAGTCCAATGATGTAACCACGTCATCTGCTGGTCCCAAGAGATAGGGTCTTTAAGAGGTGATTAGGTCATGAGGGCTCCTCCCTCGTGAGTGGGATTAAAGCCCTTATTAAAGAGGCTTCACACAACCCCTCTTGCCCTTGGCCATGTGAGAATACAGGATTTGTCCCCTCTGAGAGATGCAACAAGGCACTATCCTGGAAAGGACAGACTAGCTCCTCCCCAGTAACTGATAGTGACACTTTGATCTTGGACTTCTGACCTCCAGAACTGAGAAAACACATTTCTGTTTTTGAAAAATTATCCAGGTTCAGGTATAGACTCAGCAGCACAAATAGGCTAGGACAGACATGATCACAGCAAAGAAAGCAACTCAAGAAGATTCTAGCCCTTTTTTTTTTTTTTTTTTTTTTTGAGAGGTTTTCGCTATGGGGCGCATGCGCTCGCCAGACAGACAGAGAGAGACAGAAAGACAGAAAGCGAGAAATCACCCCCCAGAGGGGATGGTCATGCTGCAATCCCTTTTCCTCTCGGGATCTTGGGCACGCACGCACACGTGCCCGGCATGAGTTTTAAGCCACCGGGTCCGGGACGCGAACCACGGTTGACTACGTGGGAGTCCAGCGACATAGCCCTTACGCTAACTACTGGTTCCCTAGCCCTTATGTTAAAAAGATGTTACTTCTCACTCTTGAGATCATGAGTAGATTAGGCCAACTACATGGACTGTTTCATTTGTAGCTTCTCCTATGGCTGCCTCTGCCCAATTATACTATCTGACTGCTTTATGAAGGGTTGAAGAATGCTTTTTTTTTTTTTTTTTTTTTGACTGCCATCGGGCTGTGCACACTTAACAGAATTAGAAAGACAGAGAGAGAGAGAGCATACACCTCAACAGGTTGTGGTCATGCTACAATCCCTCTCCCCTCTAGTTCTCCATCCTGTTTAGATCTTTGGCATACACTCACATGCCCCCAGAGTGTTTCTTATGCTTCCTGAACCATGATTCAGACTGCAGTTAGCCATGTAGAATTTTGGCTTCCTCAACCACTAGGCTATGGGCCCAGCCCAGAGATACTTCGTTTGCTAATCGCTGGACAGGACACATGACGGGGACACATACATGCAAGTAAACCAGTTGGCTTCCCTCTTGTGAGATAAGGAGAATGGGAATGTTTGTCTGCTCACAATGATTTCCTCACTACTCATGCACTGAAATTCCACCGTCAAATCTAAGTACTTCCTTGGGGGCCTTGTGCCCTATAATCTATTAACTTCTCCTAACAAGTTAGTACTAATTTAAGGGCAGGTCTATAGTGATCATTTGATCATGGAAGAATCCTGAAAGATCTGGAATCACAGGACGAATGGCAATCTCTGGGAAACATGGTCATTCTCTCAGCTGTGTTTTGACCTGTCTTATTGTGATGGGCCTTCTCAGGCCTCAGTCAACTCCTGGCTGTGGAGTTTTAGCTTCCCATTTTGAATGGAGAATTGTCATTTCCTTCTGGGTCTCAATCAGTGTAAATAAATACCTTAGGGACCAGCAGTTAGCATAATGGCTATGTCGCTGAACTCGAACTCGACCACGGTTTGAGTCCTGGACCCAGTGGATTAAACTCACGCAGGGCGCGTGTGCATGTGTGCCCAAGATCCCGAAGAGAATGGAGGAGAAGGGATTGCAGCATGGCCATCCCCCCTGGGGGGGTGATTTCTCTCATTCTATCTCTCTGTCTCTCTCTGCCTTTCTGGCGAGGGCACACGCCCTATAGCAAAAAACTCTAAAAAAAAAAATTAAATAAATAAAAATTTAAAAAAACAAACTTAAACTGCCATCAAAAGTCTGAGGGGTCAGGTGCTGTCAGTGATGAAGAATGAAGCTGACCTCCCCCAGGTCTTCCGTGTTCAGCATGAGGGCAGCCCTCCCCTTTCCCTCACTTGTGCCTGGCTTTGCAGGAAATGATTGCTCAGCCATCACACTCCCGGGTGTAAGAGCACTTGCTTTTTATACCTCTACGTGTGCTACACAGAAGAGTGCTTAATGAACTCCATGCTTGGTACTTATTGTTTACCACTATTATTGTCATTATTATTACTCTGGAAGCCTCATAACAATATTTCCCAAGTCCCACATCAGGAACTTTCAGTATCAGATTTGTACAGTACACTCTGGCAGAGAGCAAGACAGACTACTTCAACCCAAGACTGTCTGGAAAATTCTAGGGTGTATGTAACCCTTCTCATGGCTCGCTGTTGGCAGAGCACTCCAGCTGAATTACAAAATGTATCCAAGTTCCCATACTTCTTGGGCTACCCAAGGCTGGGGATTCTTCCAGCTAATGTAAATCCTGGTTGTTGCATTCAATTCAATTTGGAAACACACATTGAGCACCTACATGTAAAATATTGAACCTAGTGCTGTGAGAAATAGAAAAATAAAAAAAGAGATGGCCCAGACCTGCAGAAGCTCAAATAGCAAGTTGCGGGGAAGCTGCAAGGCAGAGACACACAAATCACCTAAGTTCAAGGCAGACAGCTGCAAGTGACACACACAGGTATAAAAAGCAAGTGGCCTGGGAGTGTGATGGCTGAGAGCTCAATTCTTTCAAGGGCAGGCAACAGCGAGGGGGAGGGCTGCCCTCAGGCTGAACACAGGAGACCTGGGGGAGGTCAGCTTCACTCTTAGTCACTGACAGCACCTGACTGGTGTCTCTCTGGTATTTTTTTTTTTTTTTTGAGAGGTTTTTGCTATAGGGTACATGCATTCGCCAGAAAGACAGACAGTCAGAGTCAGAGAGACAGGAAGCAAGAAATCACCCCCCCCAGGGGGAATGGCCATGGGGCAATCCCTTCTCCTCTATTCTCCTCTCGGGATCTCGGGCACACACACACATGCGCCCAAGTGTGAGTTTAAGTCACTGGGTCCGGGACTTGAACCGCGGTCGACTACCTGGGAATTCAGCGACATAGCCATTACGCTAACTGCTGGTCCCTCTCTCTGGCTTTTGATGACAATGTCTGGTATTTACACTGATTGGGACTCAGAAGGAAATGAGTGCTCTGCATTCAAAACAGGAGGCTAAAACGCCACAGCAAGAGCTAGGCAACAATATGAGGCCACTCCTAACCAGCAACTTCCAAGGAGGCCTGTGGCTTTTCCAAATGAGGATTTTCCTTCTTTTCTAGTGACTCAAAGGTCCTTGCTTACTTAAGAGTTTTGAGTGCATGCTTTATGTAAGTGTGGAATATCCTTTATGGTTCCTTGTAACATGCACTGTTCTGTTGTGTGTTAGGTCGTAAAGTCAAGGTAGGGAACATCTGAAACGTGCTGTCCATTATCTTCTCTTATGCTTCCTGGGATCTTCTTCCCTCGTTTCCCATCCACCCCAGCTTCTGCACTAACACTCCATCAGAATTTCCTATGACCTTCTTCAAAATCTGTTTATTAATAGATGAGAGAAGACTTATAAGCACAGGCAAACGAAAGTTTGTCTCTACTCCCTAACATTTCTCCTGGAGCAGTGGGAACTGGCTGGGCAATTGGAGTTGAATCTTGTATCTTCTTTTCTATATGCCACCATTTCTCTACCTAGCAAATCAGACCAACGGTCAAAGGAGTTGAGTGAGGGTAAAGGAGAACTGATGAAGGGAGTTCTCACTGCTCCAGGCTGTGAGCTTCGCAAAACTGAGGCTACAGGACAAAAGGGATGGCGTCATAGTTTATATAGCCACTTTTGATTTATCTCCTTGGATATCAAAGGGATAAGATTGGTAAGTAATTCCCAGAGATCCAGCTGTTACACAGGACACAGCTCCTAAGGCAAAAGATTGTTTGAAATGACCTCAAACTCCAGAAATATTTGGGTGATACTCTTAACACTCATCAAAAAAAATTCTTTTTATCGTGGTAAAATGCAAAGGTACTTCAAAATGTTTGTGGAAAGTGGAATTCAAGTACAAGTTTATTTTCATGCAGGAACTTTTTGAAGCTGTGACATACAATTTCCTGTTTTAATATTTTTCTTTTTCAGGCCAGCTGGTGGCATGATGGCTAAAGCGGCTGGATCCCACATGGCCAACTGTGCGGTTCGAGTCCTGGACCTGGCAGATTGAAAAACACACGTGTGAGTGTGTGCGCTCAAAATCCTAAGAAGAAAAATGTAAATGGTCTTGTGGCATGACCATCCCCTATGGGGAGAGGAGCCATCTTACTTCTTTTCTCTGTTTTTCTCTCTCTCTCTTCTCACCAAATGAGCACACAGACCCTTTGACAAATTAAAAAGAGAATAAGACAAACTTTTTTTCTTTTTCTTTTTTATTGCCAAAGGGCACATGTACTGGCCAGAGAGGAGGGAGAGAGAGAAAGCACCCTCCAGTGGGGTGTGGTTATGCCCCTTCCTCCACTCCTCCCTCCTATCAAGATTCAGGCACACACATACACACATGCCTGGCTTGTTTTTCAAAGCTGCCAGGGCTGGGATTTGAACTGTAGTCAGCCATGTGGGATTTGGGTCCCAGTGCACAGCACGTAAATGTTGTACTATGAAGCCAGTATTTTTAAGTATGTTCAGTGGCACTAGATACATGTGCATTATTGCAGCCATCACCACCATCCATTCCAGAACTTCTTCATTTTCCCAAACTGAAATACTAAACCTATTAAATGCCAGCTCTCATTTCCCCCTCCCCCAGCCCCTGGTAACCACCGTTCTGCTTCCTATTGCTATAAATTCAAGTACTTTTGGCAGCTGAGTTTGTAAGAGTATATATTCCACCTCATGTAAGTAGAATCCTATAATAATTGTCCCCCTTGTGTCTGGCTTATTTCACTTAGCATGTCTTCAGGATTCATTCATATGTCAGCACGTATTACAATTTCCTTCCTTTTTAAAACATTTTTATTTATTCATTCATTTATTTTTAATTTGACAGAAAGAGACCCAGAGAGAGAGAGAAAGAGGGGAAGTGAGAAAGCAAGACACCAGGTCCGGGACTCAAACCGTGGCCAGCTATGTGGTAGTGTCCAGAGCCTTAACCACTATGCCACCTGCTGGTCCCCACAATTTCCTTCCTTTTTAAGGCTGAATAATACACACACACACACACACACACACACACACATTTTTTGTTTATTCATCCATCAATGGGCACTTGCTTTGCTTCCACCTTTTGACTATTGTGAATAATGGTGCTATGAACACAGATGTACGATGATCTGTTTCAGTTTCTGCTTTCCATTTTTGGAGATACATACTCAGAAGTGAGTTCACTGGATCATATGGTAATTCTATGCTATTAATTTATTCAGACAAGGTCTCTTTGCCCTCCTGCCTCAGCCCCCTGAGCAGCTGGGACCACAGATATACACCACTATTCCCAACCTTTAGGCTGGACTGAAAATTGAACCTGGGCTTCCCACATTGTCTTGACCTATACAGCAAGCATCTAAACAACACATGCACCATGGTTGGGCCTCTATGTATCATTTTTGAGGACCAGCCATATTGTTTTCCATAGCAGCTACACCAACGTGGACAGTATTGATGGTGCCAGTCTTTACAAGAGGCAAGTCCAGAGAAGACATAATTTTGTATTTTTAATTTTCAGAGGGCAAGTGCACTTGCTAGAGAAAGAAGAGGGAGAGAGAGAAAGCAAGCACCTGCTAATGGGACATCATGACACCACAATCCCTTCTCCATTGCTCCATTCTGTTGGGATTCTAGGCACACACACACACACACACACACACACACACACACACATGCCTAGCATGTTTTATAAGCTTCCAGGGCTTGAATTCAAACCGTGTTGTTGGCCATTGGGATTCAGCTCTATTAACCACTAGGCTAGAGAGCAGGTCCAAATCCTTTATCCTTTTGGTTTTTTGTAAGGATTTACTGATGCTGAGCACTTGATCAGGTTCTTGCCTTAGTATTCCTGTCTATAGAGGGAAGACAGCAGTTACTGTTTCTCTCAGGAAACAGTGGACTATGGGATGCATTACTGAGACAGGCAGGGAGAAAAAATGTGCCCCAAAACATGTCCTCATTTTGAGTTCTGAGCCCAGAGCCTGTGCCACTCTCACCTCCAGCAGGAACTGCCCCTCCTTCCATGCAGCGTTGGGATGGCCATGGAGCCCATTCCGGTGGTCAAGGTCTGATACCTGTGCTGCTTATCAGACATGGGTATCAAGGACCTTCTCTGAGACGACACTGCTTATATAAAGGGCCATCCTCGGGTGCAGGCACATTGCACCTGCATTTCTGACCTAGTTTAAGCCCGCCATCTCCCTTTTCGGTTGGTATAGTCTACAGGTGGATAAGGAAGAGATGACTGAACATCCGTCCGAGTCCAATTGCCATTTCACGAACAATGTGATAACTGCATTCTTTCTTTTATTTTCCCCTTCTTGACCCCTAGCAGCTCATAGCCTGGATGTCAAAAGCCCATGTTAGAAAAGATTTGGTCTTCTGATTCACTCACAGTCCCACACAAGGCCCTGTCAAAGCAGGGAGGCCCCTACCTATCCCTCAGCGAGGGATACAAGCAGAACTGACACCCTGTTCTTTAGAAGGGTGCCCGTGGCTGCACCTCACCCCTCTGGCAGTTTGGACAGGCCAGTCTTGCAGACAGCTTGTGCCAGAGGTGCTTGGGTGTCTTCCAAAGGTTGGCTGTGGAGAAACTGGGAAAGGGAAGGTGTCAACACTCCAGCTGGAGCTCTGTCCGTGTGATGTTCTGATCACAGTTCCCGGAGTGACTAGTCCACAGTAGTTCTGTATTTTTAGTCGTGCTGCCAGCAGCAATGAGACCTCTACAGAACAGCTCCTGTCCATGCAGTCCCAAACAGGAGGCGCGAGCTCTCCCCAGTGCCAATCTAGAAGTTCTCTAAGAAACAAGATCACACCTCTATCTGCCAGCAAAGGTCCAACTCATGTTTCCAAAGCATCAGCTGGCAAATGAGTGAGTCCTTAGTGGTCAGTAGAGAAGGGCTCTGGTCTTGCAGGTATGCCAGTAATGCAGAGGGAGTTTCCTACATTGTCCCCACTAGCACCAGTCTGCCAGGTGGGCTAGGCCCTGGGCTTTGGCCTCTTGGAGACGTTCCCTAATGGAGTGAGCCTCCACAAGAGCGTGACTCTGTCTCTCTTGTTCACTCTTGCATTTCCAACACCTGCAATAACGCCTGCAGAGCAGATACTCAGTCACATCTGTGGCATTGCTGCAGTCTTCTGGCCAGGGCTGGAGAATGGGCTCTCCTCCTTTTACAACACAGACACCAATGGCCCCAATGGAAAAGTGACTGTTTTAGACACAGCCCCTTACAGTTCCACAGAGAAGTCCTCTGTCCTGTCTTGCCTTGCACTGGAGATAACCAGTATAATTGTCCCTCTCTTGTCTTTCTGGTCTCAGTCATGGCCAGGGTGCACCCTTAGAAGCAGAAGAAAAGCAAAATATTGCAGGATTCCTTCTATATTGGCAGGGGAAGGAAGAGAACAGTATTAAATGTGCATAGTACAGATGTCACCTTGATGTGTGTGTGTGTGTGTGTGTGTGTGTGTGTGTGTAATCCCTCCTGAGGCAAATCTGCATATATCTGCATATACATGCATGCAGACACTAACCTGCAAAGGGACATCCAGCTCTTACCGCTTAAAAAGACTAATCTGTTTTTTTCCTTTACACAATATGTGGAGACTAGAAATTTAACTATTGATATTAATATTTTAGAAATCTAAAGGGGAAAAACAAATCACAAAATGAACTTGCAACTTAAAATTTCAAGGTCATTTTCGGTGTATTTTTTTAATAAGCAGAAAAGAACATAGTTTGAAGACATTCTAGGGAGAGAAGGGGGAAATAGTCAAAGGTTAAAAATCCATCCTAAATCTTATTTTGGGAAAGAGATTAAATTTACTGCTTTTTTTTTTATTTATTTGTACATAAGCCATAGATGTACTTTATTAAACTAAGAAAGTCTGAGCAACTGGGCCTCGTCTTTTTCCAGGATCATGTACATTTTTCCAAAGGGAAAATGGACTCTCATTCTGGAAAACATAAATCCGTGCTTGTTTTATGTTCCTTAAAAATCAACTCCTTGAGTGGCTGGAGGAGAGGTCTGCGTTGAGCGGCAGCAGCCCGGCTCCACGGCGCGTTGTGTAACCTGCCCACCAGGGAATCACGTTGCCCTGGCGAGTTCCACAGGCTTTTACTGCAATAATAAGCTTGATCTGCTTATTCAAATACAAGTAACAACCACAGCCGGCTCCAAGTCACGTGTCCCGGTCACATGGCGCTCAGACACAGAAACCGACTGGCAATCATTAACTAATGCTTACTCCCAGGGAGAAAAATACTGGTTTTAAAGACACCAACTCTGTTTTTCTAAAAAGACCAGGACTGCAGTAGAAGGCATGCAGGGTGGGAGGGGTGTCTTATTCTTACTAAGTGCTTTCCAGGGAAAGGAGAAGAGCCGACCACACTCCCTCCTTTCGTTCTTCCCCCAAAAACTTTCCAAACTTGCCCAGCGTAGCCGTCTTCCTCAAACCTGGAGGCGCCAAGGGCTGCTGCATCCCCAGCTCGGGTCTGGGAGCCAGAGGGCGGGGCGGGGGGGGCTCACGTTGCCCTGGCGAGTTCCACAGGCTTTTACTGCAATAATAAGCTTGATCTGCTTATTCAAATACAAGTAACAACCACAGCCGGCTCCAAGTCACGTGTCCCGGTCACATGGCGCTCAGACACAGAAACCGACTGGCAATCATTAACTAATGCTTACTCCCAGGGAGAAAAATACTGGTTTTAAAGACACCAACTCTGTTTTTCTAAAAAGACCAGGACTGCAGTAGAAGGCATGCAGGGTGGGAGGGGTGTCTTATTCTTACTAAGTGCTTTCCAGGGAAAGGAGAAGAGCCGACCACACTCCCTCCTTTCGTTCTTCCCCCAAGAACTTTCCAAACTTGCCCAGCGTAGCCGTCTTCCTCAAACCTGGAGGCGCCAAGGGCTGCTGCATCCCCAGCTCGGGTCTGGGAGCCAGAGGGCGGGGCGGGCGGACTTGGCGCCGGCCCCAGCGCTTGG